TTCTTCCCCCATTCTCCCGCATTGCTCCCCATTCTTCCCCCCATTCTCCCGCATTGCTCCCCATTCTTCCCCCCATGCTCCCGCATTGCTCCCCATTCTTCCCCCCATGCTCCCGCATTGCTCCCCATTCTTCCCCCCATTCTCCCGCATTGCTCCCCATTCTTCCCCCCATTCTCCCGCATTGCTCCCCATTTTTCCCCCCATGCTCCCGCATTGCTCCCCATTCTTCCCCCCATACTCCCGCATTGGCCCCATTCTTCCCCCCATTCTCCCGCATTGCTCCCCATTCTTCCCCCCATGCTCCCGCATTGCTCCCATTCTTCCCCCCATACTCCCGCATTGCTCCCCATTCTTCCCCCCATACTCCCGCATTGCTCCCCATTCTTCCCCCTATTCTCCCGCATTGCTCCCCATTCTTTCCCCCATGCTCCCGCATTGCTCCCCATTCTTCCCCCCATTCTCCCGCATTGCTCCCCATTCTTCCCCCCATTCTCCCGCATTGCTCCCCATTCTTCCCCCATTCTCCCGCATTGCTCCCCATTCTTCCCCCCATGCTCCCGCATTGCTCCCCATTCTTCCCCCCATACTCCCGCATTGCTCCCCCCATCTTCCCCCATACTCCCGCATTGCTCCCCATTCTTCCCCCATTCTCCCGCATTGCTCCCCATTCTTCCCCCCATGCTCCCGCATTGCTCCCCATTCTTCCCCCATTCTCCCGCATTGCTCCCCATTCTTCCCCCCATGCTCCCGCATTGCTCCCCATTCTTCCCCCCATTCTCCCGCATTGCTCCCCATTCTTCCCCCCATACTCCCGCATTGCTCCCCATTCTTCCCCCCATTCTCCCGCATTGCTCCCCATTCTTCCCCCCATACTCCCGCATTGCTCCCATTCTCCCGCATTGCTCCCCATTCTTCCCCCCATACTCCCGCATTGCTCCCCATTCTTCCCCCCATTCTCCCGCATTGCTCCCCATTCTTCCCCCCATCCTCCCGCATTGCTCCCCATTCTTCCCCCCATGCTCCCGCATTGCTCCCCATTCTTCCCCCCATTCTCCCGCATTGCTCCCCATTCTTCCCCCCATACTCCCGCATTGCTCCCCATTCCTCCCCCCATACTCCCGCATTGCTCCCCATTCTTCCCCCATACTCCCGCATTGCTCCCCATTCTTCCCCCCATGCTCCCGCATTGCTCCCCATTCTTCCCCCCATTCTCCCGCATTGCTCCCCATTCTTCCCCCCCATACTCCCGCATTGCTCCCATTCTTCCCCCCATACTCCCGCATTGCTCCCCATTCTTCCCCCATACTCCCGCATTGCTCCCCATTCTTCCCCCCATGCTCCCGCATTGCTCCCCATTCTTCCCCCCATTCTCCCGCATTGCTCCCCATTCTTCCCCCCATACTCCCGCATTGCTCCCCATTCTTCCCCCCATACTCCCGCATTGCTCCCCATTCTTCCCCCCATACTCCCGCATTGCTCCCCATTCTTTCCCCCATTCTCCCGCATTGCTCCCCATTCTTCCCCCCATACTCCCGCATTGCTCCCCATTCTTCCCCCCATACTCCCCGCATTGCTCCCCATTCTTCCCCCCATTCTCCCGCATTGCTCCCCATTTTCCCCCCATACTCCCGCATTGCTCCCCATTCTTCCCCCCATTCTCCCGCATTGCTCCCCATTCTTCCCCCCATTCTCCCCGCATTGCTCCCCATTCTTCCCCCATACTCCCGCATTGCTCCCCATTCTTCCGCCCATTCTCCCGCATTGCTCCCCATTCTTCCCCCCATGCTCCCGCATTGCTCCCCATTCTTCCCCCCATGCTCCCGCATTGCTCCCCATTCTTCCCCCCATTCTCCCGCATTGCCCCATTCTTCCCCCCATACTCCCGCATTGCTCCCCATTCCTCCCCCCATACTCCCGCATTGCTCCCCATTCTTCCCCCCATACTCCCGCATTGCTCCCCATTCTTCCCCCCATGCTCCCGCATTGCTCCCCATTCTTCCCCCCCATTCCTCCCGCATTGCTCCCCATTCTTCCCCCCATACTCCCGCATTGCTCCCCATTCTTCCCCCCATACTCCCGCATTGCTCCCCATTCTTCCCCCCATACTCCCGCATTGCTCCCCATTCTTCCCCCCATGCTCCCGCATTGCTCCCCATTCTTCCCCCCATTCTCCCGCATTGCTCCCCATTCTTCCCCCCATACTCCCGCATTGCTCCCCATTCTTCCCCCCATACTCCCGCATTGCTCCCATTCTTCCCCCCATTCTCCCGCATTGCTCCCCATTCTTCCCCCATACTCCCGCATTGCTCCCCATTCTCATTCTTCCCCCCATTCTCCCGCATTGCTCCCCATTCTTCCCCCCATTCTCCCGCATTGCTCCCCATTCTTCCCCCCATACTCCCGCATTGCTCCCCAATCTTCCCCCCATTCTCCCGCATTGCTCCCCATTCTTCCCACCCATACTCCCGCATTGCTCCCCATTCTTCCCCCCCATTCTCCC